GCCATTAGATTACCAAACTTGTTAGAGATTTGAAAAATAGTTTCCAAGCGTTTAGAGTCCTTCTGATACTGTTTTTAGTTTTTTGTCTGTTTGTTCTTAGTATTTCTTTATCAACAACCTTATTTAGTAGGGTTTTATGGAACATATTTTGTGCTTACCTTTATTGGAAAGAATTTAGGTTTTTCTATTTCAGTGTTTCCATTTTCCTGCAAGCATTTTAAGATACCATCCCGGCCCTTTTCTTTATCATCTGTCTGCATTTGACCATTTCAGTGCTTCCAAGCATCTTCACCAAATACTGAAAGGTCAGCAAATAAAATGAAATACATTTCTTCAGAGTTGAATCAGAAGTACAAGCTGTAGGTTAGAAAAAAAAGAAGTTGACATTATTGGCTAAAAGGGATTTCTGAGATTATCTGTAGATTTCAATTAGCCATGCTCTTTGGCCTTGCTTACCGCAGAGTATCAAAAGCTGGCCATCCTGCAAGCAGATAAGAGAGATAGGTTGCCAAAAATTCTACCAAATGATGATAATGATATATTATTGATGTACAATTGCTTAAATTGTGGCATCAAGATAGAGTCCTCAGCAGAGATGGTATGCAAACTCACTATGCTTAGAAAGAAGAAAATGAAAATATCCTCTATGTGTTGTATGTAAAGTGATGAAAACAAACATGTGACCCTGAAAATTCTCTGCCTCCCATTTCTCGGTTTTGCAGTTGAAACTGATGTCTGGAATGTTAAGAACTCAGGCAGTTCTAGGACTTGTTGGAATATGCATATACTATTTAGGAGATGGAAATGGTAGGGGTGCCTGCTTGCTTTCCTGAATTCCAGACTGCTTGTTTGGAAGGCAGATGGCAGCCCGTCCACAGCTGGGCCAGGCTCCAGAACGGCCCGGGACCTCGTGCTGCGGCAGCACACGGCTTTCTCGCGCTCTCGCCCAGGGGCCTCTTCAGGACTCCAGGGTCAGAGGGCTGGGCAGCGTGCTGGTCTGAGCGCGGTGTTACCCTTGCCTCTCTCACCTCTGTTCATCGGTCGGGCCCAGGGCCCAGAGCATCCCTGGAACAGGAGACCTGGAACAGCTGAAGTCCGCTGCCATCCGGAGGCAGCTGGCTGCAGCCCCCTTGGGCCTCTTTGTCATGCCTGACACTCTGTCCCTCAGCTTTCTCCTCCTGACCACGGGAAAGTACAAGAATTTGTTGTTTGGTGTCGGTTGGAGAGATAGGCTCCGTCGTGTGCTGGGAGAGTTTCTGTATGTCAGTCCTCACGCAACCCCCGACTCCTGCCAAGGCCACTGAAGGCAGGCGGGAGGACCCGGGGACTCAAGGGCGAAGAAGCCCCCGGGTTTCACAGCGGCGCTGCCAGCCAAGCTGCAGCTTGTCAGCCGTTCAGGACTTGAGTTCCCGCTGCCGGTGAGCTTACGCTTGGATTTCAGCATTTGCTGGGTGCCGGGTGTGACGCTTAAGCACTTTGCACAAACTGAATCAGTTTTCGCATAGCACAACTATGCCCATTTCAGTGGTGAGAAGACTGAGGTACAGAAAGGGTGAATGACTTGACCAAGGAAGCGTGGTTAGTAAGTGGTAGACCCGGGCTTTGAGCCCAATCAGTCTGGCCCCAGATCACTTTCTCTTAGACCTCCTCTCGGCGGCCTCTTGGGCGCGATGCCCCCGCTCACCCTCCCCCGCACCCCCTGCCAGACACACTCTGACTCTAGCCTGATGGCTCAGATGTTCAGATGGCTGGAAGTGGTATCTCAACTCTGTATGCGTGAGACATGAAAATGTTAGATTCAAATGCCACTGAGACTTCAGATAAGCGGGTGGCTCTGTGTGGAGGAAGGAGGGCCTTTTTTAGTTGCGTTCCCCTTCTTCCTAGACTGGGGGGCAACAGCATTCCCCGGGGTGGTGGAGATGCCAGTAGTGGAAGATCCAACAGCCCCCTGCTTCTGCTTTGACCCCGTGAATGGCAGGTCCAAGACCTCCCATCTTGGGTGGATGTCTCCGCTCAAATGGTCCCTGGGTCTTCATTTCATTTCAGAAGGAAAATCATTTGCCTGCTGTCATTTTATTTGATATATATATATATATATATATATATATATATTCAAAACTTCTACCATATTATTAGTTTTTCAGTTACTCTTTTCACATGCCTTCCAAAAGCTTAGTTGTTCCACCAAATTTTGGCATGGCCCTTGTGCTTTGTACTTAAATCACTTGCCCTTGTAGTTTCAACTGCATGTTCCATTCTCTGCTGTCTTCGTGGACATTGCTGCTGGCACAGTTGGGGCCGGCAGGCCATCAGGGATCCCCTCACCCTGAATGGGGGCGTTCCATCAGAGGAGGGCGTTCGATGTACCCAAAGCACGTGGTGAGAGCCAGTGTTGATGAAAGATACTGCAAAAACAGTGTGTGCTATTATCAAACCTGACCGCCTTAAAACGTTGCTTTCTGTGGTAGCGAAACAGGCTTTTTGTATTCTTTTGAAAGAATTTTTTAATTCTTCTGAAATTATCTGCCGTTTCTTCTGGTATCATCTAAACCAGTGGGGGAAAAGTGAGTAAGTAGTAACCTTCAGAGAAAAAGAGAAGATAGAGTGAGAAAATGTACCGAAGGGCTGGCTTTGCCATAAGTTGTCTTTAAAAGTGTGTGTGTTTCTGCAAGTGTGTGTCTCTGTGTGTGTGTGTGTTGAAAATCAGTCACCCAGCAGTCATACTGAAGGTATCTGGTGCATTCTCCAGGCTACCGGGAGAGCTGTCTCCTCCGTCTTGCCTTCACTCCGCTGGGACACTTGAGTGGTCACCCTGCCCGTGTGTGGCCGGCCCTCCGCGGCTGCAGTGCCTTCCCAGCACAGAGCCAGACGATGGTGGCAGCAAGCCGTGGGGCGGAGTGTCTGAGGGACGCGGCTGGCCCGGGTGGGGGTGCAGCAGGGAGTCTTATTTCCTGCCCCCTCGCTCTGGCCACCTGCTGCCAGGCCAGGGCTGTGAGCTGCTTCTCCTCCTCGTCTGTGGTCCGTGGGGACCACCCCCGCCCCCCCACTGCCACTGTGCTTTACATCTAACTGGAGGTTCCACCTGGAAAGGGGGCTTCACCGACGCTGCAGCATGTCAGCGCCCACGCTGCTGGCTTCCTGAGCAGGACTGTTCCTGTCTTCCTGGCATCTTTGTTCTAGATTAACTCCTTCCTAGGACTCCTTCAAGAAACAATTTTCTGGGTGCTTTGTTTGGCTTTAGTTTTGTTCTCCCCACAGACGAGAGCAACCTCCTGCTTAGAAACACCCTGTTATGATACCTAAAACGGCCTCCTTGGAAAATTCCAGAACAGACCCCTCAATCTCTGCCCCAGACAAGCGGATGATGTGTCTTCCTGGCAAGCCGAGTACCCACGACTGTTGCATAGTCTAAGCCGAGAAATCGATGCTTTGGACGTTTGTTTTTTGGTTTTCACCTCTTTACTGCCTTTGCAAAGGCAGAGACTTCCTTATTAAAACGGATTTTGCTCTGAGGGGGCTAAGAGAAAAACAATCTATCGTCCTGTAGTGGTCAAAGCCATGCTCAACAATGGGGCCGTTGTGCAGCCGCCTTGTGGGCTGGGGGACAGGGGGAATGTTTATAAAAACAAACTTCTGAAGCAAGGACAGTGCACGGCTTTGTTTACCTGGCACTCTAAACTTAAGGCACTTATTTTGCCTGAAGAACAATGAAGTGCAGAGCTGTGATTAGAAAAGGCTGGTGTAACTGATGCGTTAACAATCTCCGAGGTTTCTCTCTCTCTGGCTTAGGATGGCCATGTACATATTTTTCTGAAGCTAACATCAGAACTGTCCATCAAAGGCAAAAAATAGGCCTCAAGAAACACTGTCTTTTGGCAAACAAAAACAAAGGTCCTTGTTCTCCAGGCCAGTGTGCGTATGTGTGGAACGCTTGAAAGAACCGTTTTGAAATGAACTCAGGACGAAAGGCTGTTCCAGAGTCATTCTTGCAGAGATGGGACAGGATTTGTGCAAAGTGGAAACACAGTCATAACAGGACTTGTTCTCTTTGACAGTGTCTCTCTTAGTCTGTGAGTGAACCTTTCCAGAAAATCTGTAGCAACTCAGTTGCGCTCCTTTGCCTTTATTAACAAATGACAGTATACACGTAACACGGTGGGTGGGGTTTAGAGTTCTCTTTTTGTTTCGAGGTCTGGGATCTAAGTTAGAAAGTTAACCGTTCTTACCCAAGATGTGTTTTTTGTTCACTCACTGGTGCGTGCTCCATTTCCACTAACCAGCTGGTGGGTTTTAAGGTTTGCTCAGTAGCTTTGTTTCCTTATCACGTCTTTCTTCCCCCACCCCTGAAAATTAGAATATTGGCAACTCATCTGTATCAGTGAGATTCCCAGTAAGCGGCTGTGCACCCTCTCACGTCTACAAAGAGGTCGCTTGCGTTCACTCTGAATCCGGGAGTGGCTGAGAGCTGTCGGCCCTGCCCTGGGTGCGACGTAAGGTGCAGCCCCCGCTGAGGGAGCCCGGGGAGGACAGAGAGAGACGGGATGGAGCCCTTGCGTGGGTCCTTCTCCTCGCCTTCGAGTCTTGCCGCCTCTGGGTGGCACCTGAAGGGAATTCCTGTGTGCCCAGTAGATGGCTGGTTTAGAGTATGGTGGTCTTCTCTTCAGCGCTCACTTTCCCCGTGCAGGTGGATGCCTAGCTTTCCTTCCTTCTTTTCTTGTTAAATTGTTCCTCTACTTTATCTGTGAAGGACACAGCTCCTCCTCCTGACACCGACATCCCAAGGAGTGACCGCAGCACTGGGGACCTCCTTTCACACCAGCCTGAGTGCCCGACTCAGGCTCGCTGGGGAGCGTTTCCTCAGAGCGGGGGCCCACCCTGCCCTGGGTCTGGAGGGCCTGCGGCCCTCACCCAGGCCGAGCTGCACCGCCAGCCTTCGGCACTCTCACTGTCACTCAGAGGCCATCCTGGAATGTGGAGGCAGGCAGAGCTGGGGACAGAGGTCACGTCCAAGGTCTGGCCTCTGCAGGAAGGCAGCTCCGGATGTCTTCAGCATCCTCTGGGTTCCCGTGGCCTGCCTTCAGTCCCGGGTCCCAGTCCTCGCTGAGAAGACCGGCAGCCTGTTCCTCGGGTGGACGGCCGGACACCCCTTCTGACAGCTCCCAGGTGTTCGGTTCCCCAGCAGAAGCCCCGTCAGCCACGGCAGGGCCCCTCTTCAGATGGGCGCCTTCACCACGGGCAAGACCGTCAGGAGAGGTGCCCTGTGCTCCACCAAGCTCGCGGATCCCTAGCCTTCTCAATCTCTTTCTCCTGACCGGAGTGCTCAGCTGGGCAAAGCCAGGGCCTGGGCCCCGGCAGGCTGGGGTCCATGCCTGGGGAGCCCTGCTCAGCACCGGGGACGCGGCTGGGCCACGCGGTGCCTCTTCATTCCTAACCCGACCACGGAGAGCAACTTCAGTGACCATGAAGGTTCCCCTTGCTGTCGCAGAAGACACTCACTGCTGCTCACCCGTCTCCTGGGCTTTCTGCAGAGTGCGATTGTTTTTCTGTTTTACCATAAGCAGCAGTCTATCAAATTAACAGTTGCTAGAAGAGAAACTAGATACAGAATTATATTCTTGTCAGCAGTGCATTTTCATAATAGCAATGGAGAAAGCAAAATCTCACCAACAGCTGAAACACACTGAAGAGACTCCTGCAAACCATGTCCTCTGCTTTTGTTTGCTTGTTTTTGGAGCAGATGGGCTTGTTTGCTTTTTGCTTAAACGTTAATCAAAAATCAATTTATGGCTATATAAGTGGCATTAGATAATTCTCATTCTGACTCCAGTAAATAATATCTATTTGTTCACGTTAGATAAGTCTAGAGGGTGGTGAAATGTAAAATAGAATTACATGAGATATGACATATGGCTATGTGTTTTATAAATTAATACTTGTATGTATGTGGGAGGAGAAGTAATTGAGCTTACTCACAAAAGGAAAAGCAAAAGGAAATTCCCGAGGAAAAACAGGGTAGCAAGTCTAAATAAATTTGGAAGATGAAGAGAACTGATAGTTTAGTTATGTCTGTTTAACAAGTCATTTCTATGTTGGAATTAGAACCATGAGAAAAGGAATATTCTAAGTGCTGAACATTTTAATGTACTCCATTAAAGTACATTAAGTTTAACTCTTTTTTAACTCTTCTGCTGACAAAAAAAAAAAAAAAACATTCATTTGATGACTGGGGTGATATCATATAGGCAAATGTATTTATACATTTTCCCCCCTAATCTTTTAGCAGGCATGTCTGCATTTGTAAATAAGTTGCTTGAGCTAGTCATGTTTGTGCAAAGGAGACTGACGTTTCCCTGATACAAGAAAATAGACAGTTAAGTTTTGCTGAGTAACTATTATATATCTTTATTCTATATGTAGAGAGGTATACATTCATTGAAATAGCTAGAGGAAGTGAGAGGATATTCAAATTGCTATTAATATTCCCTTTTTCATAGATATGGACCTGTTAATTATAAGAAATCTGTTTTTAAATTAATCAATGAGAACTTTTTATTTCTTCTCTAAGATTCATTTAGCCTTGAAAAGGCCAAAAGTTTAATGAAGCTTCTAAATGCCAATCTTCCCTTCCTTCTGTTAGAGAATATGCTTCAACTATAATTACATTTGCATTGTTTGAAATATTAGTAGTTCTACAGCCAGATCTCTGAGTTACCTGAGAAGTGTAAAGGTAAAATCTTGAAGGTTTCCTCAGGCACGCTGGAGACCCTGTCCTCACAGCACACATTGATCCACCAAAAGGTTTTATATGAGGGTTCCCCCCACTCAGCTTTACTGAGCTGTAACTGATAAGCGAAAATTGCCTGGGTTGACTGAGGTGTACAGCTGAAGGTCCTCATGTGCGTGTACACTGAGATGCTCCCCACAGTTAAGCTCATGACTGTGTCTGTCGCCTCACTTTAAAGTGAAATTCCCCTCGAATGCTTTTGCCTGATTAAACCTGGAAGGGGCCTGGGAAGTGCCCTCGAGCTTGGCAGACTCTTCTTGTAGCTCATATGCAGTAGGTAGGTACTCAGTGACTCTGAGAACAGGGAAACGAATACAAATACGCTTCTAACACTTTATTCAAGTGCTGTTAACAGAGTAGGCATTCTGACTTTTCCTGTGACTTGTGCCTTGGAATTTATTTTTCTTTTACCCTGATTCAGGATCAGAGCTGGCCTGACGACCTTAGAGGAGCTTTGCCTGTGCAATGTGGGAATTGAACTGGTCCTCTGCTCCCGCTCCCCCACTCACATAGGCATTTGCTCTTCTCTCTCCCCGGCCCCACTCCCTGTTATGTGCGCCCTGCCCCTCACCCCTGGTTTGCAGCCTTTGCTGTCAGTTGAGGTGAGCCTGTGAAAGCTCCCTGTTTGCACCTGATTGGCAACGTTCTGTTCCCCTTCTGCTGCAGCAGCTGAATCATCCTCGCCTCTGTCAGCTTTCTGAACGCCTCACCTAGTGATCCTGGTGGGGAAATTACAGTGATTAGTGCTCCAGCTCTTGTTTGCCCATAAGTGTTCCAAAGTAGTATTTTTAAAAATTCCTCTAAGATATTTTCTTCTTTCATAGTAGATACAGTGAATATTAAATGTCCCCTAATTGCCTGAAATTTCTACTGTAAAATTGAGTTGGCAGCTTTACAGACTAAAAGGTTAGAGGTATCGGGTAGATGAAGGCTCATAATTTCTAAGAGCATCCTTAGGTTGCCTTGCCTATCTTACTGTCGTCTGCCTACTGTCAGTGGCTGTCTTTATTCAGTCTTTGTTCTTCTATAAGAAATATTCATTTTCCCATAGCTTCTTTGATACCAACCAAAGGAAAGAAACTTTATTTTGATTGTGTATACTTTTCTCCCCTCCATTCATTGACCTTAGTATCAACATTTGTTCTTTCAAATGGCTTATAAAAATTTAAAATAACAGCAGTCGCACAAGCCGTGCATAAAAAGCAGGTTTGTAAAAAGGATCCACTCATATCTTGTGTTGTTTAGCAGTTGTAACATTTTCTGTTGACTCCTTAGTGCTTCTGCTAGCTGGCTCTGATAAAGTTACCAAGGGTACCGTGGGAGGCATGAAGGCACAACAGTGTGGCCTTACTAAATTTGGAAATAATAAATGAGTGAGGAGAGAATTTAAGGGTAATTTAGCTGAATTCAATTGGTCTTTCCTTTTGTGCCTATAGCTTCAACTACAGTAGGTCAACTACAGTAGGAAGAATGTAACAATGGGGAAGTTAGGACCCCTTTCCAGGAGCATCACTAGCAAGTAGGCGCCTTTGGTATGACCTGTTGGTGTGTCCTAGCACAATTGCAGGGTGCTAGGAGCCCTGAGATGCTGTCCAGTCCCTGGGCGGGGGCAGGGCTCCCTGAGGTCTCTGTGTGGGAGACACGGTGGAGAAGGGGCTGGTACCAGTGAATCATGACCCAGTTCTACACAGGCAGCACTGCTGCTCTGGTGCTGCCTTAAAGAACTGTTTGCAAGTTGCTGGATGATCCCCTGTGTCCCCCACTCAAAATTAATTTTAGCAAGTCAGTGAATTAGTATGATTAAGGGAAACTATACACAAACATTTTCTCAGGATGTCTTCAAGCAAATGTGTGAATGCTCAGTTTTTGGCCTGGTGTAAATGAAGTACAGCCTCGACCCGGGAACACATTACTTGGCTACCAAATATTATGTTGGCTTGTTAAGACACAGGCGCAGCAGACCATTCTGTGCAAGGAAACGTCTCAGTATAGGTAGAGAAGTGCTCAGGGATGCCTCGACAGCCCAGACCACACCAGCTCTTTGACTCTGCGCTGATGAACTAAGAGGGGTGGACAGTGTGCTGTCAGGAGGGAAGAGCCTTTGGAACCAGATAGACCTGCTTATCTGGGCTCCACTGCTTCTGTACATCAGGTGGTCCCTACCTGTAAAATGGAAATGATCAGACCTGCTGCCGAAGATCGAAGTGAAGATGAATTTACCTGGACAAACAGTGTAACTGCTAAGCATGTAGTAAATGCTCATTGATAGCCATGGAGGTTGCAGGATGTCTGAAATCTGATGACACTCACCTTTGAAATGTGTTTATTTGATTCATGTGATTTGAGGCTTTTCTACTTCCAGTCTCAGAATTGTCTGGCCCTGCATTATATGGGGATTTTCATTCCCTTTTGTTCCCACCCAAATATTTGCTAATTATTAAGCACCTTTGTTGCAGGTTAGCTTCTCTGAAAGACTCCAAGGTAACATTAGGAATGCAAAAGATTAGTAAGGAGAAAGACTTGTGAAAGGGAGAGGGGAGGAAGATGATGATGGGGTAGGGAGTCAGGACACATGTGCATCTAACTGGGATGCTGACCTGACAAAGGCTGGGCCAGCGCTCGGGAGATCAGTGCAAAGAGTGCCCATATGAACAGTCCTTGTTGCATGGAACTAGCTAGGCCCTCGGAAAACCCCACTGCCACCCTCAGTTCCTGGCCAGGGGACTGCCCCCAAAGGGTATGACCCTAGAAGACATAGCAGCTGGAGGCTGAGCGACGCTGCAGCCAGATGCCGAGTCCCTTCTGGAGGAGGACCCACACCGTGCATCGCTTTGGTCACATAGCCCTTGTTTTAAGCTGGGGCCTCTCAATTTGAAAACTATGTTTTCAGTGGGAGTTTGGTTATTCCTGAGGCGGTTTAGCTTTAAAACATATGGCTGCGGGAGAGGGAACTCTTTCTTGACTAATAAAAATGCCAACAGATCCTTGCAGTCATCACCTCAAGGGAATACAGGCCATCACCCACGTGTTCACACATGAGTGCCGGTCTCCTTGGATGTTAGCTGGTTTAGACATATGCACTGCTGAGATAGTCAGCCTACTCAGCCTAGCCAAGAGAGTGCCCTTCCCAGGTGGCTGAGCGGTAAAGAATACGTCTGCCAATGCAGGACATGCAGGTTCTATCCCTGGGTCCGGAAGATCCCCTCGAGGAGGAAATGGCAACCTACTCCACTGTTCTTGCCTGGAAAATCCCATGGACAGAGGAGGCTGGTGGGCTACAGTCCATGGGGTTGCAGAGAGGTAGACACGCCCAAGGGGCTGAGCACACACATATATACAACCAGGACAACACTGTCTTCCTCCGGTTCCCAGGAAGGCATGAAGTCAGCTGCTCATCATTGTTAGAATGAGTCATTTTTTTTTTCTTCTGTGTATTAAAGCTTGAAGATACCATATTCTCCCTGCCAGCACCCTGCCTTGGCCCCTCCAGTAATATACCCCACACCATTTAACTTATTTGTTTTATGAATGCCAATTCAAAATGTGTAACTTGGATGCTTGATTAGAATCTTAACCCTTTTCTATTGTTAATGAGTATTCAGCCTTTGAGTTTTTCCATCCCACTGTATTCTTCTAATGGCACAGAATAGAATGTCTTCTGCTAGAAACAGCATAAACACATTTATCATAATTTAATCCTACAATATGCAAGTAACTTGATAGATGATATTACAGAAGAAAAGAGTATTTTCAACAAAAATGAAAAAGCACCTCAGAATTAACAAAAACTTAAATTTTATTAAAAAAAATACAAAGACAGCTTGAATAAATGGAAAGACATATTATCAGACAGGAATAATCAACGTTATCAAGATATCAGTTCAAGTTAACTTGAAAATTTAATGTGATCCAAAGACCAGTTAGATGAATTCTAAAGCTATCATGAAACAAACAAGTTAGCCAAGAAAACTGTATCAAAGCAGTAAGGAGCCCCAGTATTAACAGATTTTAAAATAGTCCATAGAGTCTGAATAATTAAAACAGTGAAATACTGGGTGCATGAACAGGCCATTAAAACAGAATAGACAGTCCAAATATAGACACAAGTACATAAGGAAATTTAGTATTTGATAAAGGCCGCCTCTGAAATCAGTGGAATAAAGATGGATTCTTCACTTACTGGCACTGGGGCATGGGTAACCATCTGGAAAAGAAGTAAAGTTGTGTCCATACATCATACCCTACACCACATTGAATTCCAAATGGATCCAAGGTAAAGATGTAAACAACAAAACTATAAAAGTGCTAAAACAACACATGGGGGAAATTCCTTTACAACCCTGAAGTGGGTAAGGCCTTTTTGGTTTCAACACAAAATATAGAAGGCAGAAAAGAAAGCATTCATAAGGACTGAATACATTATTAAAAATAAAAACAAAAACACTTCTGCATAGCTAAAAACCATAAGCAAAGACTAATGCTAAACTGGGAAAAATATATTCAACTTCTGTCTGAGACAGACAGCTAATTGTGCTGGTTAAAACAAAGAAAAGAAAAAATCAGAAATCTTGGAAATTGATGAAGAAAAGACTAACAATTCCAAAGGATTTGGGGTGAAATATTGAACAGATAATTCGTAGAAAAGGAAATACACATAACTATTAAGCAATGAAAAAAATGTTTTAATCTCATAAAAAAATGGAAATTAAAACAACACAGAGATACCATTTTTTTACCTCTTATATTGGAAAAAATTCAAAATGTTTGATAACACACATTTTTGGCAAACCTGCAGGAAAACAGCCCCAAGTTTCTGGGAGGACTGCAAAATGGTACCGTATCTGTGGAGGGGAATTTGGCAATATCTCTTAAGTTATAAATACATATACCCTTTGACTCAGCAACTTGGGGAAGGGCATTTACCCCAGATATACTTGCACACATGCAAAGTGACTATTGTACAAAGTTATTCAATATGCCACTGTTTCAAATAGCAGTAGATGGGAAATAACTCAAATATCCATCAGTGATGTAATAGGTAATAAAGGTCTTCCCTGGTAGCTCAGACAGTAAAGAACCTGCCTGCCATGCAGGAGGCCAGGGTTCAATCCCTGGGTTGGGAAGATATCCTGGAGAAGGGAATGGCTACCCACTCCAGCATTCTGGCCTGGAGAATTTCGTGGACAGAGGAGCCTGGCGGGCTACAGTCCACGGGGCTGCAAAGAGCTGTACACAACTGAGCAACTAACACACAATTAAGGGCAGTGACTTCCAAACCTGTGGGCTTATTAGAACCACTTAGGGAATTATTATTATTTTTTTACTTTCAAAGTTCAGGTCATACCCCAGACCAATTAAATCCATCTCTGAAAGGTGGGACACATATTTCATTTTTTTTTTTAAGTCCCTCAAGTGATTTCATTGTACAGATTTTGAGAACGATTGAATTAGGGTTTATCCATACAGTGGAATATTATTTAGCTGTTGAAGTAGATATCTTCAACATAGATTAAGTGAGCAAAATAATAAGCAGAACAGTGTGTTGTTCAGTTGCTCAGTCGTGTCCAACTCTTTACGACCCCATGGACTATAGCACACCAGGCTTCCCTGTCCTTCACAGTCTCCTGGAGCTTGCTCACACTCATGTCCATTGAGTTGGTGATGTCATCCAACCATCT